CCTGTGTGCAGGTGTGCACGGCGCTGGCAGCAGGGATCACCCCCTGGTGCAAGGGATCTCGTGGGACAGAGGGATAGAGTGAAGCGGCTCTGCGTGGAACGGCGGAGGGCCGGGGGGAGAACCCGGGGAAGGGGGCTCGGGTGATGTCTGGGGTGGCGCCATGGTGGAGGGGGCACTGCTCTGACAGCCAGGCGCTGGGGCCAGGTCAGCGGGTGCTGAAGAGCCGGTGGAGGAGCAGGTCCTTCTGCACGATGCAGGCTCGTGTGTGGAGCTGTGGCAAGTTTCTCGTGAGCTTGTCCTCCATGTGCAGAAAGCGATGGGGTGGGAGAGGCAGCCGTGGTGGTTCAGGTGCCTCCCCTGCCCCAGGATGGCTGCTGCAAAGCTGCTCTCCCGGGGCTCCCCTGGCCCAGGCCCTGCAGCCCTGGGAGGTGTCTCCAGCCGGCTCTGCTCCTCATGTGGTCTCTTCTCTGGCTCTGGGGAGCTGTTGGGCTCCTCCTTAAGGCAAAGTGGTGGCATCTCAGCTGCTCTGCTAGAGATTTGAGGTCTTTGTGTCTCACATTGGCTCCTGCTAAAGAGGATCTTGCCTCCTAGAGGGAAGAAGGACTTTCCTGTCTCTCCCCCACTCCCTGAGAGCCTTGGCTGTGGCCCAGCACAGCTGCAAGGTGGTCCGAGCATCCTCTTCCCCGGTGCATCCCCCGCAGCTCTGCAGGATGCTTGGGAAGAGCCTGGGGAGGAGGTTTGCCAGTGCAGTGGGGCCAGCTGAACCCGTCTGCCGGCCTGCAGGTTCCCCACGTGTCCCTGCCTGCATCCCAGTGGGCAGCACCCCCATGTGCCAGGTCGGGCACCCGGTACCGGCAAGGTCTGGGCTCGGAACCGGTGCCCGAGCCGTCCACAGGGAGCAGGGAAGCTGAAGTCACTGCTGCACCCGCCAGCTCCTCTCCTTTGTTCTGCCTCCAATAATTGGAGGAACAGCAAATCTTCCTCTGTTTGTGCAGCGCCGGCCAGGAGCCACCCAGGGAGGAATTGCACGCGGCTGCCCACGGGAGCGCGGCTGCCTCCTCCTGTACCGTCCTGC